GGATTCTGGTCAAGCCAATTTATGAATCCCTTCCACTTGTATTTTCAAACGAAATATAAGGTATTCTAAGATAAATCTATTAATAGATTCATATAAATTAAGTTTCCCTTCAAATGAAATCGCTGAAGTAAAGATCGAGGTTTTCAAGAATAATACCATCCAAAAATACATTGAGTTTGCTGCAAAACGAAAATAACGTATTTTAAGTCCATTCCAACTCCCTCAAGAAAGAATCAAGGTGATTATTATAAAGTAGAGATTTTCGATCCTAATAGAAATCTCAGAAGTAAAGCCAGAATACTTAAGAGGTAATTATTTCTTATCATTTTCACCACAAAATTAAAGATAAAGAACGGAGTAATATAGCCTATACGACAAAGTTGGAGATGTAGACTTCTGAGGTGAGGAATATAAACAGCTGGATATTTTGAAATCGAAAGAAATATATTTGGAGTCGCAAGCTAGCATCATAAGGAGCTATTATAAAGTGTGATTAATCGCAACACAGCATTGAATAACTACTTAAATATCAAAATAAAGTTAGGATTGAAGGATGCATACATGTACCAAGAACAGAAACACAAAATTCTGCGAGGAGTGTCAACAGACGGAAGTGTGACAATACGGAGAGCAACTAAGGGTCTATATAAATACCAACTTCCCTAAGCTCCTATTTTGTATTATATCAAAATAGGAAGAATATTGTCCTCAAGTTAAACTGTGTGAGTTATGTATCAGCTATATTATATATTATTTAAATTAAACAAAAATTTATAAAGTCCGATCCAGCCTAAACAAGTCTTGAAAATGAGCTTGTCAAAAAACCTTTGGTAAGGAATGCACAAATGTATGAGTAACCACGTGAAGAAGAAAAATATTTGATTTATAGCAAAATCTATTACGTAAAAGCAACCCAAAGAACAAATATAATTAATATGGGTCTATGAGCCGTAAATAGTTAATCGAATGACAAACTCCTACCAAATAACCCATTAGAGCAATGAAGGCAAGTAATTGAGAGACTCGTAGTCAGCGGCTGAAAATTTATTACCTAAAACAAGATTACAAGACTATCAACTAAATTGAAATAAAGTTGCTTTTGCCAGGCGAGATTTTAATAGAATAACTTAATTCGAATCCATTCCTATACAAATATAACTATCTTTATTAATTTATTTTTAAAATTAGTTTCTCAATGGCATACTATGTTTATATTTAAAACCTATTCGAGGAGTATGATTTCCTGTTATATATTT